CTGTTCAGTCTCTTTTGGCTACATGGCATGCTCATCTACACTTCTGTACAGTTTTTCTTTGGCTACATGGAATGCTCATCTACACTTCTGTACAGTCTTTCTTTGGCTACATTGGATACTCATCTACACTTCTGCAGGTCTCTTTTTGGATACATAGAGTGCTCATCCACAATTCTGTACAGAAGAGCTCGCGCTCGACGCTCCACCGATACAATTTCCCTATGTGACGTACAGTCTTTCTTTGTGTTCTTTATTTTTAAAAAATTCTTAATTATTTTTTTTAATGCGTTTGTCTTTGCTATATATTCTTTTAAAAAGGTTTTTAAAGTATTATTTTAAAATTAAATTTTATTGCTACATCTCAAGGGACTCATTAGTTGTTTGGATGTCTCTGTCTAGCTCCCACATGCCTGGCTCCTAGAAAGTCGTTTGAATCAGTTTTTCATAATTCTCCTAGTAAAAATTGACGATTAGTTTTGTTTCTTATACATAAGCGTTTTCTTTCCTTTATTCTATAATATTTTTAATTGTATTCAGATGCTCATGACCGATGTATGTTACTTTGTTACAAGTACGTTTGAAATCACTTAAATTTAACCAATTTAAAAGGATTGCAACTTTGACTCCAGGTCAGAGGCGTAGCTAGGGTTGGTGTCACCCGGTGCGGTAAACTCATGGTGTCACCCCCCCCCCCAACTTCCTTATTGGACTTCTTCTTGTTAAAAAAAGTCCACAGTATAACAATGACAAGAACAAAAAGACACCAATTGAAGGTCATGAGGTCAATGTGTTTAAAAACTGTAACAACTTTAAATTATAGTTATTTTTACATTTAATTTTAAAATTTTTCCTTTTCTTGTATTCAATGCTGCAAACCTGCTAATCACTTGATAAAAATGTCATTAAGCGTATCACTTTCAATTGATAGCTGGACAAGATCAGAAAGCCTTGACTTTCCCATGGTGGATCGTTAATAGTTCTTGATAAACCTGAGTTTTGAAAAGCTCCGCTCTAACGAGGCCACAGACACACTGATCGTAAGAAATAATTAAAGGCTTAGCAAGAGTATTGGAAGAGATTCTAGGACACCGAAAACACTTCTTTGCTTGCTAATTCTAGACACTTGGGGTAAACAGACCAAACCATATCTGCTACTTCCTTTATCGCTGATGATCTGATCTGGAGATCAGAATGTAAGCGATCAATACCCTCCAGCATCGCCCTACTATTTCTTTTCGCAGAGTAAGTCAAACATCTGTTAATTGTTCTCCTGCCATTCTCTTCTTAAACCTTAATCTTTTCTCTACAGAAATTTCATATTGGTCTCATTTTAAAATTGCCTTTCCAATAGCATGTTCCACCAAGTTACAGCGCTTCTCGTGCAGAAACAATACTAAGGTTTGTCACCACTTTGTCAAGAGTAAAGCCTTTATTCTGCAGATACTGCTGTGTAAGATTAACTTCCTCATGTAGATCAGTCCAAAGGTAAAGGTAGCAGATAAACGTGAAATCACAGACAGCATGTAAAAGACCTATTGCTGTACTTCTTGTGTCCAAAATTTCAAGAGGATGACACAGAGCTTCCATCGCTGCTACACATTCATCAAACTAATCTTTAACTGTTTTAACAGCAGCATGATGAGCACTCCAAGGCGTTGTTGACAGTCTTTACAAAGTCATTCCAGTGTGTTCAATTAGAACATTCCACCAATGAGTGGATGCAGCAAAGAAGGAAACTATTCTTTCACGAGTACCGAAAAATGGAATACATGAAGCATTTTCTTCAAAAGAGTGTTGACCACACAAGTTAAGCGAATGGCCCACACATCCATTAAAAATTGCTTCTTATTGCTCCTTTTAGAACTGCCTGAACACATCCATGGATTCCAGACATTGTGGCATCATTATCGTAAACTTGAGCTCTGCACATCATTATGTCTAGTCCATCATGTTTTAGATTTGTAAGAATGTCTGAACTGAGGTCGTCAGCTTTTATTACCTCTTAAAGGGAAAAAAAAACCCAACAAAACTCTTCTCTCAATTCAACTTTCCCATTGTGGATTTTCACATATCTCATCACTTCAGACATCTGGTCAGTATCTGATATATCAGTGGTACTTTCGAACTTAATTCCAAACTACCTTGCAGCCTTTATATCCATGATAAGAATCTCCTTCACATGATTTGCGAGGACATTTATTATTTCATTTTGGGTTTCTGGTGAAAGGTAAGATGCGGATTCTTTATGTTTAGATGTACTCCTCTTTAGTCTCATTTTGGTGCTCTTTTAGCACCGGGTCATATTTAGATAGCATCTCAAACATTTCAAGAAATTTTCATGTGAAGATGGATCTTGTTGTGGCCACGAAATGCCAGATTTTGGTTTGCAAGAAAAGCAATACTTTCGGCACCGATTGTTTTGTGTATCCCAAGTCGTGCGGCCAATGCTGACCACTTTTCAACATAGGTGCTCTTACGATGCTTCACGGTTCTTAAATTTTGGGCTCAGTTTCCTCCTCTTATCAAAGCCAGTAACTAATTTGGATATTGTTTCTGTAACATTAGCAGCAAACAATCTGACCTAAACATAGGTAGTTTCATTTCTGACGCATCATCCTTGAACTTTTAATAAAGGACGCATTTCGATTGGTTACATTTGTTAAAAAATATATGTGTGATCGGTTATCCTTTTATGAATCTCCACTAGACCAAGCGGTGTGTGCTCTGTAAATATGCAATTTTTCAATTGGGTGTCACCTCTAAAATGGTGTCACCCGGTGCGGTCCGCACCCTCCGTTCTACGCCACTGCTCTAGGTTAATCTTTCAATGATGTTAACCAACGTAAAATCCTACCTGGGTCTTGGCTACTGAATCGGTTTATTCATTACACTGAACTGTTTTAGATGTTTAACAGGTTCCGTGTGGGTTTTTTTACGTGGTCCATTATTTTGAGGCAACTGACCAACTTTGCTTCAGGCAACTACCATATAAATTAAAGGTTTCAAAGCTTTTTTAATAGGTCTTTTCTCGGTGAATTTAAAACAGAAAATTTAAAAACAGGTATCACTTCAAAAAATTAATATCATTTATAAGATTAAGAATAAATTTAATAACGTTGAAAGATTAGGCTTAAAACGTTGTTTTTTTCCCTTTAAAAACGTTTGCTAAATAATTATACTGTAAAACAATTGTGGTATCGCTTGAATGTAGAATTAATCTTTCAATCCCGAATTATTTTCAGGAAGATAAATAATTTGTATTAAAAGTTCTTATATTGGCCATATAGGCCCTATGTTACATGTTAATATCTTCTATTATTTTATAAGAGAACCATGCAAACCACTAGGACTTTTCCGAGAAGCCCTTTACGCAGGAGACACGTGAACCCCGATAAGGTTTATGGAAAATAGTGAGACCTTCCTTGATAAGCAGGGGTGGACTGGGCCGCCGGGACACAGGGAAGATTCCCGATGGGCCGCCAGGATCGGTGATATAATAATAATTAATAACTAATATCATAGGGCCGCTTTTTGTTTTTCCCCCCGGGCCGCTTGAACTCCCCAGTCCAACCCTGTTAAAAAGACTGATACATGAATTATGGTGAATTTTTGTTTGACTGGTGAATATTTCTTTAGCATTCTTTAGTATTAAGCGAGGTAAAATCGTATTTGATCACAATATTAAGTTGACTAGAGTAAAACGCAGCAAACTTCTTTGATACCCATAACATTGGTACAGAAATCTGTATAAAAAAACAGTAGGCAGTTACAGTGGCGTAGCTAAGGTTGTGCAGCCTGGGATAAGATTTTTGCCTCCCCCTTCCACGAAAAAAACCCCCTCTGCATTCGGATAAAAATGCCCCCCTCCATTTTTTTTTCCATTTAAAGAAAAAAACTGCCCCCCACCCCGGGGCGAGTCGCCCACACCGCACCCCTTCCTACGCCACTGCACACTAAATGCACGAGTTGCTCTGTCATGAGACAGTTCTCCAGTCCTGGGACACGGTAATTGTCATGTCAGGAAATGGGCCCGCAGTGAGGCACAGTGTGATCCTGGCTGGGAAATGGCCCGTCTATCATACGGCAGAGTTGGCGGGAACTTTTAACTAATTGCATTTGACTGTTCCATTCACCAAGAAGGCAGTCAACTGTAGGCATGATGTTTGGACAATGGGTTCTCTAGTCGGCAGTATCTCATGCATGAATCTAACAAATAGTGTATACATTTATCGAGTCTTGCGTAGCCGTCTGGCTTTATGAAAGCCACTGCGAAGATAAGGCTTGAAGATATCAACTGATGTTTTATGTTCGTTTTAGATTTTAAATAGATATATTTATATATATATTATTATTCTCAAATTATAGCTGCTTGGAAGGACCACTAACAGTATGAGTACACTTAGAAATGTTACTATTAAAGTGGTTCCCAGTGAAATTTTACAAAATTTATTCCCATTTAACATACTAGACAGAGGCATCTAGAAGACCTGCTGATAACCAGTAAAAAAAAAAAAAATGTCAGGGACTGGGTGAAAAAAAAAAAGGCCGCTTGAAGGGATTAGTGGAACAAGATATATTTAGGCTTGAAGTTTAAAGACGTGACAATCAAAAGTATGTTTCTGCTATAAGCCTTCTTCAGATGACAATACAAAACAAGAAACAACAGATAATTAGAGAAACTGGTATCTGCAGTATTATTGTCACTACTCTTATCAAACCCTTACACAGGAAAGTTTCAATAAAAGCTGAATTCATGGGTCACAAATGACATTTCACCTTTGCCTGCACTTCATGGGTTAATGAAACAATAACAATTACTGTTTAAAAAAAGGACAGTAAAGTTGGCTTCTACTAGGAGACTGAAATGTCAACATAGCCCAACACTTTTAGGATTAAAGGTGTTACACAGCCTGCCTGTCAATCAAACATGTCACTTGGAAAAAAAAATACAGCGTGAAGTGCTATTAAACACTTGATAAATTTCAACAAAACTCTTGTATAAAATAACAGCAAATTTATTAACAAAAACAATATTTCATGTCATTTAGAGCATTAAAATAACTTTAGAAACATGGCCAAAACGTGGTCTGCACACAAACTGTGTCTCTCATGGCTGCATTCATCAGCTTTCACGCAACCACTTGTTCTTAACAATGTGGTTTGCACACAAACAGTCTCTTATGGCTGCATTCATCTCATCAGCTTTCACGCAACCACTTGTTCTTAACAATGTGGTTTGCACACAAACAGTCTCTTATGGCTGCATTCATCTCATCAGCTTTCACACAACCACTTGTTCTAAACTTATGTACATTGTCATAATCTGATAGGGTCTTAAACATCCATGCAAAATTCCTTCTCATCGTGAAACAAGACATGCAAAATTTCCATCATACTAACTTAACTTCCTTTAACATTTATCTATTTGATAGTTATTTGGTAAATGGATAATGAAAATATATAACAGGAAGAGTAAAACAAATGTCTTAAAAAACCAGGTAAAAAAAAAAAAAACATACAATTTATTTCTTCAATAATGGTGCCAAGAAATAAACTTTTTAACAATTACATTAAACAACCTACCTAAGATTTTTTCTTAATATCACTAGTCAACTCATTCAAATCAAAGATCCCATTTCACAAAACAAACCAGTTTACAACTCTGCCCCACATTCAGTCCAGCGTCTTATTTACACATGCCACATCACAACACAACACGCATGCCACAATCACGTGTCCGATGGAAACCCAAACACCCTGACGATGCCAGCGTCCCTGTCTCGCCTGTCATCACAAGCGTATGCCAGAAGATGTCTCTTGGGATGCCAGGCCACGGTAAATGTAGGAGAGTCACATGTAATCTGGTGGAGCCTCTCTCCTATTAAACAGAGGGAATACATTTATTAAACGATAGCCTGAAAGGTGATTGAGAACATGATGAAAAAAATCTGCAAAGATTTTCATTTTCATCATTTATATTATTAGTCCAATTTTACAGGAACTTTCAAAAATAAAAAAAATTAGCATTCATAAGTCTCTGTATAAATAAATATGACGCAAAACTTTAACACAGATACAAGTGTAAAATTATTTATACCCGGTAGTAAGTTATTAAAAAAACATTTAAAAAAACATTAAATGTAAGATATACCGGTACACTATATCCGGAAATAAGAGAACCCTTTCGATAATGATGAAAAAATTAGCTAGAATTAAAATGAACTTTGTAATTTAACTACATATCCTGTCTTACTATGTTGATGATGGAAATAAAAATAAAAAAATCAATTAAGGATAATCAATGAAGTTATTAGTTTTATAATAATAAAAATGGTTCCAGTGGATAATAAATGTCATCTGTTTGAAACTGAAAAAATTTCATATTAAGCCCTGAGGACTTACCAGTTTCAACCTCTCCAATGTCAATGATAAGATCTTCTGATGCTGATGCCAGCATTTTCCCATCATTGCTAAAACTCAGTGTACGAACTGGCCACTCTAACCTAAAAGGTGAAAATTAAATATTATTACCACAGGCTTAAGGTGTAATGAAAATTTAACACAACTTGTCATATCTAAACTTGTGTAATATATAGATATGGAGTTATATGTCACATATAAATATATATATATGAAACTTCATAGTTTTAGTCTATACACAGCCTTTTCTTAACTTATTTATTCCTGCATATGGTTAATAACAATAAAAGTTGTGTGTGTATAAGTGAAAAAAGATAAGTACCGTGCGAATGTTCGCATGCAGACCAATTCTGGTAGGTTCCACAAACTAACAAGAGCATCTGCACTTCCTATGGCAAAGTACTGGCCCATGGGATCAAATTCAATGCAAATGCAATTTGCAGGATGGGCATTTAGAACATGAAGTGTCTTCAGCTCTGGATAACTGAAAAAATATGTGCAAACCAATGTGCTTCAACTCTTACAACATATCATCCAAATATAAGATTACTTTATTAAAATCAAAGTAGCACTGTATTCTAATTGACAACATCTGTTTTAAAAAATTACATGAAACAATCAATCAATCAAACACGATAATATTTAATTTAATGACTAATACAAGGAATAATTCCAATGGAGAGCTCACAACCCATGCACAGTTAAGGGGAAACCACTAGCAATTTCGTAAGTCCTTTTGATAACAGAAAGGCTAAAAATAGACGAGATAGGCAATTAATGTCAATTTTAATGGCACCCATAGCCAAATTTATTATTACTTTATACAAATTAAACAATTCCAGACTATCCGGAAAATTTCCTTGCTAGAAGGCCCATTTTCCAGACTGAGAAAATTATTCAATAAAATACCGACTATTTACCGTTTTGCCGACTGTGTTGGGACCATGTTCCGTTTAAAAACATTTATAAATATAAAAAAAATACTGCTTTGACGTAGTCATACCTGAATATGTGAACACTGCCATGGCCACTGGTAAGAAAAAATAAATCACCATCGTTGTTCCATGAGATCTCATTGACTTCAAATTTAAACTGCTCTTCTGCTTTTGATCTGTGGGTTTTTACATCTATAAATGTCACAAGGTCATCTTTATTTCCGACAGCTATGGTGCTTCCATCCGGCGACCAGCAGATGTTTATATTTTCACCTTCAGAAAGAATGCTATCAAGATTAAGCAGAACAATAAAACTCAAAGCTCATATTCAGTAACTGTGACTTTCCAAAGCAAAGTTTTATTTAGATTCACCATCACTTTCAAAAATGAATTGTTTTTTCTTTTACTGAGTGATAAGCTCTCCTTAAAAACTTCATTACTTCAACCATAGATAGGAATTATTGTACATAAAACTTTGCTCTGAATATTCTCAAAATGAGACTCTTTAAGATAGCAATTCTCCATATCCAACAACCCCTTTGCCTGAAAATTCTGCAAAAAGTAACAACTAATTGTCACTATTTATTTATTTCTTCCTCAAGAGACTTTTTCTTAAAGGATTATCATAAAGGCCAGAGGGATGTGGCTTTTATTTGTAACAACCGTTCAACTGCACAAACAGAAAAGCAATTTACATCCTAAAGTCGGTTGTCTGCTGTCTTGTGATGTTGAATTTCACTTGTTGTAGCTGCCTTGATGGGCTGGTGGATCATTTATAGCCAGCCATGATGTAAAAAGATTTCATTTTCATAGGCCCACAGTTTACTTATGGTAATCACAAGAAAGATAGGCCACTAGCCTGTAGTTAGTATTTGAACAAGTGATATTCTAATCTGGAATCAGACCCATCGGTCAGTTTTTGTGGTAAAAATATAAACCATTTTGAAATATTTTTTCACCCTCAAAGTTCTTTGATGAGCTAAACAGCATTTTGTTAAACTTCATTTGTATATGTTAAATCATATTATTCTCATCCATGCACAGATTTATTATTCAATTTATTATTCATAAATTTTCTAGGGTTCTTAAACAAAAAAAAAAAAACAAAAAAAGGATATTGGTAAAAATATTCACGCCAAAACTGATATTCTCCTTACATAGGGGGTGGGTGTCATTTAACACCCTTTTCTATAAACAAACCTTGTGTATTTTAAAATTGAGTAAACGTGACCAAACAATAATTTATTTTTATGATAATCGTATACCTTTAGTGTTAACTGTAGCAGCTGCTTTGTTAGTACGGGCATCCCAAATACGAACTGTTTTGTCCCCACTTGCTGTTGCCAGTTGATCAGGATTTCGAGGATTCCAGCACAACTGATCAACACTAGCTCCATGACCCCTGAAGACTGTATAGTCCTTTGTCTGTGGGGAAAAGTAAATCATCAAATCTGTTATTGAAGTTTTAAACAATATTTGTAATGTGGTCATAGTACTGACATCATCTAAGTCTATCACTTTTAAAACAGTACTGAAAAGCTACACCATTGCAATATAAATTTAGCATAAGATTAAACTACATATTTTGGTCAAAAATAATGTATAGACTTTATGAAAAACAAAGGAGAAAACTATTGAGAAAACTATTTTTTCTCAGAAGAAGAATGAATGTTATTTATATGATAAATTATGTTAATCTTTTTTCCCTAAATTAACAGACTGGTATAAAGTTGTTCTTTTTTTTTAAAAAAGTTGGGGTGTTAAGTGTGTGTGCATATGAAGCCCTTTTTGGGTGATAACTGACTGCATGCCACATTTCAGAATCTTTATATATATATATATATATGATATTTCTTAATGAAATATATAATTAAAGTCACACTATTGCATGTACTGATCGAAAATTGTATCAGTTGAAAATCTAATACTTATTAATTTTTAAAAAAAATAGAAAAAATTGAAGAAATTATGGAGTTTAGCGGGCTGGATTCAATGCATAAAATATTTCAGTGGTTGGAACTTTTTTTAGTAAAATGGCCTGACAGTATTTTTCAACATGGTAGTGAGGCGGAGCCCCCATGGTGAAACTGAAGGAGTTTGTGTACACAAAAGTGTCAGTTACATTGAGGATTGCAAAAGGCCATAGGAATAGTCTTAGCTCAATAATGGCAGAATTTATTTCTTGGTAATATTCTTCATAATGAATTAGATTAAACTAGGACACATAGAACACTCAGGTAAGTGCAAACTATGTGCTTGCCATTTATCAGGGTTGGTATAGTATTTCATGTATTTGCAAAAAATATTTTTAAATGAACAATTTCATGGGACTAAATCTAGGGCCCTTGTTTGGAAGAGTACAAGCACCCTAAGAAAACTATGAGATGACCAGAGATTATTACTCTATAACTGACCTCCGTCCTTGGGAACAGAAGAGGAATCAATTTATGTTAAATTTAATAATTGCTGATATAAATTTTGTTTGACGTGAACTTTTCCACCCCAAGTTTGCTTTTTAACTATGTAGACATCATGTCATTATTAGCTATAAAAGATGAAGATAGGCAAGTAAAGTCACTATCAAGAAAACAAGACAACAGTAACTTTATTGTATCACTAAGATATGGGGAAAGACAGGAGGATTTGCTGCGCTCATTCGATGACTCATCCCCTTCTCTCCATAGTCTCAAATGCAGGTGTTGTACTTTACTGTGCACAGCAATTGTGGTGTTATAGAGAGCTTGTTTACATAATTTTTCTTGTGCATGCCCTATGATTGACCCCGCATGAGGGGTGTGGCTTAGTCCTTTGATCTATTCGTGTTTATGCCGCCAGCTACTAAAAATAATTAATCTGTTCCAAGTAGTATTTTGTAGAATGAATGTGATTTTTCTAGAAACGTCATAAGTTTTCTGGAAGGCAGGGCTCACGCGACCTATATAAGGGATTGACAGGCTCGGACGGAGACGGAGATTCAGATAGATTTCTTAACTTTACGAGGCGTGTTTTATTCTTTGTGTATTTGTGTGCTCATATGTGTTTATTTCGCATTATTTATTGGCAGATTATTCTAACTGTGTTAACTGTGTACCGGTACAAGATCTACAATACTGTAAGTTGAAGATTGTTATTATATTTTCTTTTCTTTTTTAATTATCTTAAGATTTAATAAATCTTATTAATTGTAACTAGAAACTGTTTTGGGTCGTATCTTTAATATTGTTGATTCTATGGTATCGTCCTTTGTTAGGCACTGTTTACAACGAGCCAATTAAAATTAAAATAAGAGATTAATTTCTCCCAATACAAGTCAGTGCGTAACATGTGGACACAAAGACTGATATTTATTAAGTCTATATATACTTGCAATCTAATGAAAATTGCATGTTTACATTAAAAGGGTGCATATATATGTCATAATTATTGTGCATGAGCATTAAAAATTAAGTTTGATCCCTGGAAAAAAACAAATTATACCTCAAGCTCATGGTGCCCAGCCTATTCATTCATAGATTTTAACCTTATTTCATGTAGATTAACAAAATTTAGGTCTAAGTGCAAAATGAATTTGAAGTAAATGGCAAAATAAGTAAAGATCTCTTCTAAATGAAAAGTTTGCTATCTCAAACTGAGTAAAATCATGTCAATACCAAGGACAGTGTCAGTTAGTTTTGATAAAGCCTTAACAAAGGTGATAAAATTGATCTCCTTCAACTTTTTGGACATAGGGAATCGATGGGGCATGAATAAAGATGGGCCATTGAAATAGTTGGGGATTCTGAAAGCTCTAAATGTTGATTTAATAAAACCAATGAAAATTTTTTTATTTGAATATATTTTAGATTGAGGTTACAACATAAATAATGAATGAAAAAAGTTTTCATTGTATTATTCTGAATTCATACACACAATAAAAGCTCATTAATGTTCTCTTATGACTTATGAAGGAAACTATAAGAATAATAAATGAGGTAGTATAGTACATGCACGTGACTGAGTGGCTGCCCATGCGCCATGGCATGACAACGTTTTGCAGATATATGGGATTCAAGGCACCACTAAAACATGGATCTCTAGCTTCCTTAGCCACCGACGCCAAGCAGTGGTGGTGGGCGGTACAAGCTCCTCCTTTGTCAATGTGAAGTCAGGGGTCCCCCAGGGATCAGTCCTGGGCCCCTGTTTGTTCCTAGCATACATTAATGACCTACCGGAGAAACTGACATCACAGGCAAGACTGTTTGCAGATGACACAGCAGTGTATAGGACGATCGCCAACAGATCTGACCAGGACCAGCTACAACAGGATCTCAATCTGTTAGCTGAGTGGGAGATGAGCTGGGACATGGAATTTCACCCTGCCAAGTGCCAGACACTATCAATCTCTAGAAGTTGTACTCCTCTACACTACCAATACAAACTGCACGGCCATATTCTTGAGCAAGTTTCCTCCGTAAAGTACCTGGGTGTTACCATTCAAAGAGAGGTCCGCTGGGACGAGCATATTAACAATGTATGTAACCAAGCAAACCAAGCCTTGGGGTTCTTAAGGCGAAATCTAAAGATTGGCAACTCCTGTGTGAAAGAAAGAGCATATAAAGCCTTTATCCGTCCGATTTTAGATTATGCATCTTCAGTCTGGGACCCATTTACCCAGAAGAGCATTGACAGGTTGGAGGCGGTCCAGCGACGAGCAGCACGCTTTGTCCTAAACCGCTACAGGAATACCTCTAGTGTTGGCAGCATGCTAGAAACACTAGGCTGGTCACCATTGGAGAAACGACGACGACAATCCAGGCTCTCCATGATGTACAAGATAAATAATGGGCTGGTCCACTGTTCCAGTATTAAACAGAAACTCGTCCCTCTCCCCCATAGACAGCGACGAGGCCATGACAGGCAATTCAGGCTCATACCAGCAAGAAGCCAGTATAGGAGCTGCTCATTCCTGCCCAAGACAATCAGGGACTGGAACCATCTTTCAAAAGGAACAGTTGAGGCGACAACACTAGACGCATTTGTGTCTATTGCCTCAAGCCTTCAAACCCCTAGTGCATAATTTCCTCATCACCACCAGTAACAGAAACATTGCAAATCCCATCTACATGCATAGGAGCCAAAATGATCAATAAATTGATCGTGGGCCCTTAAGATATAGAAGAAGAGAAGAATTATGATCATTTATAATATGGACTTTAACAGGTTTTTAACCCTCTGGAGACGTAAGGGCCGATCTATCGGCCCAAGGTTGACTAGCGAGAAAGACAAAAGTTTGAACCATCTGCCCGATAAATCAAGCCTCACGATTGGTTGGCTTGGTGTTGTACCAGCAAATAAAAATTATTCTTACGTATTCTTGCACATCCCAGCATTGATTGTGAACTAAATTTATTTGTGTGCAGGAATTTTTTTTTGTGTGTATAATTATATCGTGAAATTCGAACATGTCTGATAGGTACTCTGATCAAATTGTGCTTAGTGATTCTGATTTCTCGCTGTCTAGCAGTAAATCTGACAGATGAAAACAACAAGGAAAGTAATGAAGACAATCAAAATGGTTATGTTTATGATAATATTGCGAATCCTTGGTTTAGGATTAGGGGGATCTGAATTGCATAGCGATGACCCCTATGAATTTTTAGAAAAAATAGAGCCTATAAATTTGCCTCATGGGATAAGCATCCCAGTTGAGTACTTTATGCTAATTTTTACACAAAATATCATTCAAATGTTTGTGAGAGAGACTAATTATAACTAATAAGTATGCAGACAACTTTCTCAGTAACACTCAGCTTAAATAAACCATTATTGGATGCACAATGGTGAAAAGGACTGCTCTGTCTGTAGCAACCGAAAAGCACCCAGGGGCAGGAAGAGGCATAGAACTCTATGCCAGGGGTGTCTGAAGGGCCTCCATGGGTCTTATTTCCCAAAATAGATGTGTTAGGATCTATTCATGCTTCATCCATCAAAACATTCCCACAATTTACACTGGTAAGTCATGTTTATTCTCAGTTTAACCAAAAATTGCATGCATAAATTATGCAAACCATGATAGCTCATTTGCATGAATGTTGAAATTTCAGTTTGATTTATAAATATTGTATTAGCTTATTCAATTTTATACAAGAATATACATAGTTTTATATATGTAAAAGAAATAGTTTATTTTTTATAGATTTTTTTGCAATGAGAGTGTTGCGTTTGTAAAAACGAAGTGTCTACATTTCCGGCGCGCCGGACAAATAGTGCGCAAGATATACGTCCGCGGCATGTCACGTGACCGCCAGACGGCTAGTAATTTTTATAATTCCGAACAAAGTGCGGTTTGGTAGATCTTATGTGGTCTAAGGGTAGAGTGGTCGCTTGACGATATTATGATTTAAGGATCAATACCGGGAATCGGATCTTTTTTTTTTTCTTCCCATTTTAATTTAAAATATTTTATACTATATTTATACTATCATGTTCATCAGCAACAGTAGTTTCATGAGAAGTTTTTAAATATTTTGTAGCAATTTAAACAATTTAAAATGAAATCTTTTATTGGTTGCCTACTCCACACTGGCCCCTAATTTATTTTATGGATCACTGGTACACAAACTCAAATAACAAACTAAACAAAAATGTTTACAAGCCACTTTCATTTAAGTTTTTTTCTATTATTTGCATTCAAGATACTCAGTACATTACATGGTAGAGAAATAGATTTTAAAATTAATAATTATTAATAATAGTTTTGAATCATTCGCAGTCAATGTGACAAGGCTGACCGACAAGATATCTCTTGTCACTTTTTTACGGCGGTCATGTGACTTGGTCGCCGGACAAATAGTGCGGGAGATATACGTCCAGCGCTCCATCTTTTTGGCACAGACAGAACAAAAAGGTTCCGTCCCCAATGGGTTAAACCTCAACTTAAAATATTCCTCTGTAAGCGTCTTCTTTTTAAGTTAATCCTAAAAAAACAAGTTCTCAAGGTTGATTTAGAGTTTAGAGTTAGCAGACGGATCGACGGACAAAGATCTCGATAATTATTTGTCCGGTCGCCAGACATGTAGACACTTCATTATAAAAACATTAGTGAATCGGCACACAATCACGACAATGCTACGATCAATGGTACTTTAAACGTTCCCTACGACTACGGCTACTGCCAGCCTACGTTACACAGTCCCAGCACTAGCCTCTTTAAAAAAAATTTAACTACTACTGCTTTAAATTACTTACCAGCCTATCTTTATCTAGCATATAAATGCAAACAGTTTTATCAAATGATCCTGAAGCCAGTCTGCGCCCATCACAACTCCAAGCAACAGAATGAACTTTTGCTGTATGTGCTTGAACATCGCGTGTTCTACTATTGGATTCAAAGAACTTTTTCATTTCATCCGCGTAAGTCGCCATGATGTTTAATGCTACACGGTGTATTGTGGGTAAAGTAGGCAATTTTAAGTTTTTCAAATTTAAAATTAAAACAAAAAATTAAAATAAATAAATAAAAGCACTTGAACTTTACAAAAATGTATACACGTTTCAGAATAAAGCTATTATAGTTGAAATAAATTATATAAGTAATTTTGTAAATAACAGAAAATAAATGAAGTTTAAATATTTTTGGGAAGGTTTTAAAAATCAGTCACCGAAAAATTTATAAAACTAAAATTTGATAATAAAACAAATATATCACAAAAACATATTCTAGTAATATCTATTCTTGTCTCTAGATATGTTTGCATGTATGGCCACGGGCGCCCGCAGGGTGGGGGGGGAGGCAAGGGGGTAACTTGCCCCCTCCTGGATTGATTGGATAAAAAATTTTAGGCAAAAATAGACAAACATTTATTAAAGTAAAGAGAAAATAAAGAGAAAGTAACTAAGCCTATGTCCTGTCCGTTCGTTCACCATACAATACAAATTTTCTGCGGGCGCCCATGTGTATGGCAGTAACTTAACACTGTTTTTAATACTAATAGGCGCAAAAAGGACAATTCTCAGAAGTTACCTCTAATTGGTGTTTTACTTGAATGTATGTTTAGTCAAGAAAAGTTGAAATTTTGCACAGTTTTTTTTTGTGTTTTCGCTAACTAAGTTTTACCCGCCCTATGATGACTATGTATTAGATTAGGTATGAACTATATGATTCATATTACAAATACAATAACAAAATAACTCAAATGCTTAGACTTGTATGATAATCATATAAATTATTGTTAATTCATTTCTATAATTTAAACTAAATGAAGTGATAATGTTAAATTGATGTGTACCGTTATTGGTAATTCTCAAAAATAAAACTAGACTTTTTAAACTAATGAACTAAATTAACTAATACGTTTTTTTAAAGAATAAGCTGACAATTTCAAAGAAACTTTTTTTTTTTTTTTTTTTTTTTTTTTTTTTTTTTTTTTTTTTTTTTTTTTTTTTTTTTTTTTTTTTTTTTTTCCTTGGCTTTTTTTTTTTATTTTTTCTTTTTTTTTCTTTTTTGGTTTTTTTTTTTTTTTTTTTTTTTTTTTTTTTTTTGAATTTTAGTTATTTGTTTAATTTCATTATTAATATTGGTAAATCTTCTGTAAATATGGCTTTATATATCATTGTTGAGTTATTTTTTTTTTATTTATTTTTTTTTTTTGACGAGCATCACCATTTCTCTATGACAATTATATTACTTGTGTCACGCTTGCTGATGATTTTTAAGGAAAACGTGTTTGGCTTCTAGATTGCGAGGATGATAAGTGAGATTAAGTTTGGCCGTCAACAATGTCGCTTGGACGTGACCTGAAGACATCAGCACGGGTAATATTCTTAACTCTTTGAAGGGCCATTGAAAGTACTGTTTTAGGGTGAGACCTAAATCGGAAATAGTCGATCTTCTCAAAAGTCATCCTCCGACTGGCAAAGTCGACTTAGACGAAGTAAATGAGAAAAGGGAATAGAGTCTTTACAGGATTTAGGGTGGGAGGAAGAGTACAGTAAATAGCTGTGGCTGTCAGTAGGTTTAAAGTAGGCGGACTTAAGTAGGCTGTCTTTGTGAAGGGTGACTATAATTTCCACCAAAAAAAAAAAAAAAGACTGGGGTCTCAGAGAAAACAGTGAGAATTTAATGGAGGGGAAAAAAGAACATAAAAAGTTAAAGAATAGGTCAAGTTTACTCCTGTCCATAGAGGTGACCCCAATAATAGCATCAATGTACCTCTAATAGATTTCGGGGAAGCGTCCAGTGTAGTTGCTTTCAACCATGCCCCATGAACAAGCACGCTTAGCTGGGTCCCCTTTTAGTCCCCAAAACAACACTATTAGAAAAAAACAATGCAGCAGCCCATGACTGTATCATCTGTAAATCGAAATTCTTCAACTGACACTTACTGAGAGCCCTGAAACCACAGGCACAACTGCTCACAAAATGCATCAGTCAAGTAGAAAGTATGGCAGAAAAAAAAACATGCTTTAAGTGTTCAAGAGCTAAGAGAAAGGCCCCAACAAATAGACCCATAGAAATTTCCAATGAATGCATCGTTTGCAAAGTTCCTTCATGTGCAGGACGCCGCTTTGCAGCCTTTCACAATATTCTAGACCAAAATAAATATATAAGGAACACAATTTTTTCCCTTCAATTTCGTGCCTCATTTTGTTCATTCCATCATTTTATTTCATGACACCCAAATCAGTGTCATGCAAAATAATATAATTATTATTATTCATAAGGAGCAACTATTTCTAAATACAGTACACCTTATTTTTTGTAATTATGTAGTAAGAAAGGTTGATTTGATTAGCTTTTTCCTGAAGCAACCTGCTCCTCTAATTTCAGGGTTATTTCCCTTCGGTCAGAAATTCAGACTATAAAATCTCCGAGTGACTTGGATTGACTATGATCTATATGTTAGTTGTCCTACGTGTGAAAAATGGAGTGGAGTTAGTATTTTGAGTTCTCGTGCTAGTTTGAAATAGGCAGTCAGTGTGTCTCGAGTCGTAGGTGTTGTGTTGGATCGTCAAGGGAGTTATACCGGTAGCTGTCTGTTGGAAATAGGCAATCAGTGTGTCTCGAGTCTCTGTAGTGGTCGATCTTCAAGAGTATTGTGGCTGCCCATTTTTGGGAATTGATATGATGTAACACTGTGAACCTGCAGGAGTGAATAAATAAAGAATTGTTATCGTAATTTAGTTTTTCACCTAGTGCTCTTTTGTGCCTGTTGTTATCAAGTGTGAACCATATGCAAGTTGGGTACCACTAGACAACGTTGCGCCTTACAAACCACCTGTGAGTGCACATACCTACTGCTGGAGTTTGCAACATTGGGAAGTCGTCCTTGGAGGAAGTTTGCAACATTAGGGTCTCATCATTGGAGGAAGTTTGCAACATTGGGGACTCGTCCTTGGAGAAAGTTTGCAACATTGGGGACTCGTCCTTGGAGGCAGTTTGCAACAATCCTAATCAAGCTGACACTGACAACATTATAACTGATGAAATCCCAGACAAAATTATTGACACTGTTTGATATGGTTATATAAGCCAAATGATTCATTGCCGTTTTAGGCAATACCAACAGTAATATGTGCTGTGTCAAGGATGAAAAGTGCACCAGGCTTTATACAAGAAAACTCATCAGAGAATCACATGATGTTGCTTGGGTTCACCAGATGCGCCGATAGAGTTGATCTACCGTCTAGGAAACAAGCTTTTTCTCGGAAAGACAAATCCCAGGCCTTGTGATTTCGTCCTGCAAAGTCAACACCATGTTCACATGCCCCCAATTTTAAAAAAAATCCACACAAAAAAAAATCAAAGATGCTGTATTGTTAATATTTATTGTTACAATGGTTTATATAATAATATGATGAGTCATTGTAAAGCAAAATATAAATTTAAACATTATATTTTATATCATTCGCTTCATTTCAGTACCGGGTAGGAATTAAATACTGCTGAAGAATTTTCCTTTCAGCCATTTTTAGAAACAAGCTTTATAAGTAAAATGAGAGTGAAAGGTGGTTAAATACGAGTGTTAATGAGTCAAACATTCCTGGGCTAGGCAGGATATTTCAGCTACTTTAAAACATACTGTACCGGTACCGGTATATACAAAAATAATAATGTGTTTTCCCTTCTGCCTGATTTAGTGATATAACTCTGAAGTAAAGTTTTGTTTTTTTTTTTTTTTTTTTTTTTTTTTTTTTTTTTTTTTTTTTTTTTTTTTTTTTTTTTTTTTTTTTTGTTTAAAGAAGAAGAAGCAACTATTTATTTAATCAGGAAGATTATGATACTCTTTAGCAATACTTTTGTCTAGTTTTATAACATGATGGGTAGAATAAACTTAGCAGAGTTAAAGGGATGTTAAAGACGCCCGGTGAACAGAACTGGGGACCCAACGGCTTGAAAATAGTCAAAACAGAGCCTACTCGAACTTCAATGATGTAACAGATTGTAACTGAAACTCAAGTTGAGGCTGAGATAGACACTATAAAACATACTAATCAATACGAGCTACACATTCCGTTTTTCTGCAAATTCAGCCATACTTCTATGTTCGAAATTCAGCACACAAGTGCTAAGTACTCATAGTTGGAAAATGCAATTGTTGTGTATATAGTGTATCCGAAAGTAGGCCCCATACCGCTACTAGTAGCATATGCTCCAGCCAACACAGAGCAGCGAACAGCTGATGCATAAGTGGAGAAGAAAACTACAAAAGCCCGCGTCACTATACCACCTGGAATATCCCATTTATCACTATAGCACATTCACATACTGTAAAATAAATGTGCGAGCCAGTATTGCTGTCATCAGTCATCTGTGAACACACACAGACTGAGCCACAGCAACCATTGATCCAGTTAGAGAGGTCTTCGACGAGTCGTCAGACTGACTAGCATATGAATATTCCTATTTAAGCAAAATTCATTTATTTAGCAAAGATTGAATTTATGCTATTGAAAATTGTGCGATTCGGAAGTCAAATTAATTTTACAGCGAAGCTACACCGATGTCTCTTCTACTGTGTGATACTGGCGGATATTTTAACTCTGTCTCTCCTGCCTTTGTTATTTTCCCTATTAATGTATTTTAAAAGGCACTGTCCAATTAAAGCAAAACTATGAGTAGAAAAGCCCATACTTGTGGCAGCTTAGTCGAAGGGAGACTTTTAACATTTCAAAATTGGTTAAATCCATGCTCTACCTATACCAAAATTGATGTATCGGAACCAAAGGCAGGTTTAATCATTATTTCCATCACCATCCAACATTTGAACACCTCAGTCGAATTTCCAAATTTTGCAAAGCTGGGTTCTTATGATTAATTAAAGAATTGGTAGTGAAAACAAAAATCTAAGCTTGTTCCCTATTAAAAATGACATCAGATTATATAAAGTTGTGTCCTACAGATGACGCAAGTAATTTAATCTTTAGTTGGAATTTTAGCACTCGGATATTATCGTCCCGTATGGTCTATTACTATTAGTATATGTCGTTCTGTTTCATATCCCACAATGAGATATGTGTGGTACAGTACCGGGTACCAGACCTTTTCCTGAGACAAAAATGGAGCTGAAGAAATTCATAAATTTCGTTTTTTTTTTTTTTAAAGGTCGAATGATTTAGAGAAGATCGTTTCACTCATGAAACTTTGGTCTTTATGGTCATTACTTGATAGTGAATATTATTTAACAAAATCTTCGTGGAATACACACCTATAGTCCTTCCCGTTGGGATGCTTACACCTATTTGACATAGGTAGAGAGTAAACTCAAAGCTTGACATTATCTTTAACTTTAAACTCCTCTAATGAATTATTTTTGTCTCCGAAGTGCAATCTTTTATGGGAGGAAAAAAACAAACTTATGATTATCCATTGTAGAAAAAAAAATCTTATAAATAGTGCACAACCAGTTATCATTAAGACAAAATATTAATTTTACATAAATTCTTTTACACCTGGTAGACTATAAAGAATGTGATTACCAAGTAATCAAACATTTAATGCCACCAAAAGTCAAGAAAGCTGAAGACGCCTGGCTAAAACTGGACAAGTCCAGTCTCTAATACGTTGATATCCCCATGTTTACTTGTGTACTTGTCCTTGTTTCTCACATCAGGCATCAAAGCTGACTACATTATTACATTTATCAAACGGGGGCACCGTAGTCAGATCTGGCCCTCATCAATATTCAGACTAAAATTTTGCTAATAAATGCTCAGCCTGCAGAGCAACTGAAATCTCTCACTTTTTTTTTTACACTGGTGCTCACCTTGCTATCTAATATTCATTTCCTTCATGTGTAATTCAAATATGCGGACAAATGTATTTTTCAAAACATCACGCTGTATTAGTAATTATTCATTAAACAATTGAGGGCCAATTTTTAAATTACCTAAATCTGCTTTGACATACATCAATTTATTTGCCTTTTAAAAAAAATTACTCAGCAATGTATTTTTCTATTTCTTTGAAAATGTCCCTCTCTGTTATTTGTTGTTGTTATTGATGCAGTTCAATGCATATTATGCACAATCGTTAATTATTCCATTACAGGGCTTCAAAACCAATCTAGAATCCGTGGGCCGGAGAAATTACAGTTGCTGGCCCGATGTGACCCGCGGACCGTAGGTTGCCAACTCCTGCACAAAATGATAACAAAATATCTTACAGGTAATTATTTAAACACAAATTTAATTTAGAAGCCAGCCTAAATAAATGCATTTTCAGATCGGAAGAATATTAAAAGATGAAAGGAAAAAGAACATCTTTAAATGAAGCAAAAAGAAAATAAATTTTAAAAATAAAAATGACAACACCGGTTGATATAGGCACTAACAATATTATTTTAATGTATTTTCAAAATGTAGACACATCATATTAATTATTAACAAAGAAGTTTCAAGTTGAAAAAAACAAAAAACAACACACGTTAATCAAGTTATGTTCCAATCAAAACAGAATCGTAAGATGACATTTGTCAAACATTTAAATCATTCAACGGACAAAACAGCATCGTAAGATGACATTTGTCAAACATTTAAATCATTCAACGGACAAAACAGCATCGTAAGATGACATTTGTCAAACAATTAAATCATTCAACGGACAAAACAGCATCGTAAGATGACATTTGTCAAACAGTTCAATCATTAAACGGATATAAGATTTGTTTCATTTGTATAATAGATTGATGACTAAAAATATATTATAGATTAAAATTCGCTAAACTGCTGGAGGTAAGGTGATTTGGGAAAAGAAAATTAACATTATTCTCTTAGTTTTAGATCGAATGAAGTTTGTCTAAATGCATAAAATTGATTCATAACTTAATTAGTTTTACAATATGTCGTGTTTACAATTCAATATGAGCACCAAATTACATCACAAAAATACTGTTTGTGAAAAAAATTATTTTAATATTAGCGAACATAATATAAAAAGAACAATTTTTAAAATATATTAAAATTTTCAAAGTATTTTGTATAATATGTAAAATACTTTATGACTTGAAATTGAAAAAATAAAAAGCATACCGGTACAAATGTAATTGATTAAAATCTTTTTTTGTTTAACGTGGAAGTGTGGAAGACAATTTAAGCTGCTAGGGAGCAAGAAAGACTATACTCAACTTAGACTTTGAGTTTCTAAATGTTCAAATGGCTATTGTGTATAAGTTTGTCCCGAGGAAGTGCCTCAACGTTTTGCAAAGGCGGTACTTTTCCGTTGCAGTTCAGCAAGTCGTCTCGGTCAGCATCGTCTGCCTGCCTCGCATTAGAATTAAAATCAATGCTGTCCATTAAAACCAAACCTCTCGTCTCTGGTAGAAATATGACAAGGAGAGAGCTGAAAGCCAAAATGCTGGTCATTATGATGTAGGACGTGCTGGCCATTTCTTTATCCAAGTTGATGATGAATGGTGCCAGGATTCCACCGAACCTGGCCCCGAGGTTTGAAAAACTGTAACCCAGGTTTCTGGTCACCGTTGGGTACAGCTCAGAGCCCCAGGTCTGGACGCAAGACCAGACTGCGCCGATCATCATTTTTTCAGTCAGACTAAGTCCGTTGATCCAAGCCCCACGGGAGTCGTCACTTGCGGTGTGATGAGCTACGATGCATCCAAGACTGATTAGCGTCGATAAACCAAAAAACAAAAACGAAGACCTTCGGCGCCCAATTTTATTGCTTATAAAAAATGTCGAGGTTTGCGCTGGAAGCTCCAAAATTCCAAGAAGACATATATTTAGGTACATATTACCGGATAAACTGGATACCCCGAATGAAATGCCATAAAAAATGGAGGACATTGTAAACCAGAAGAAAAAGAGACTGAGACTTGCTTGGGTCATTCTGAAACCCCGGAAGATGTCAATGTATGAGTATTGCCGTCCACTTTTTCGTAGTTCTTTCTCTTTCCGAGCGATTTCGTCCAGGACAAGAAGTGTCTCAACAGGCAGTGGTTTAGAATTCATGCGAGCTATTCTTCCAAATACAGCTTCGGCTTCTTGAATACGTCCGTGGACCGCCAGCCATCGGATGCTATCAGGAACAAAAAAGAATGCAGCAGCAGAAGGAATGGAACATACGGCGCAAGCAATGTGGAGGTATGACCAGTCTTTCAGCAGCAACGCTGCAGCAGAAAAGAATGCGACGCCAACAGTCCAAGACGGAAGTATTGATAACAATGGCCGCCATTTCATTGGCAAGAACTCCATGGTGTATGGAAAGACGACAGCTACAATTGAACCTATTCCAGTGCCAATGAAAAATCTCATAACAGCAAACATGACCCAAGAGGTAGAGAAGGCTGCTATCAAGTTAAATATGATATGCGCCAGGACAAATGAGTAAAGGGTTTTTCTTCTGCCAACTAGATCACTAATCTGCCCAGAGATCAACGCCCCTAAGAAGACCCCACCCATCTGTATAGATGTGACTGTGGCCTTGATCCACCTGAGGTCACATATAAGGCCCCATTCTGAGGAAACTGTATTGACAGAACCGTGGAACAGATATCTAGAACACTCTGTTCCATTGACCTCACACACATTGAGGGTATCGGTATCATTAAATGTCGTGTCATTGCCGCCTTCTCCAACGATGCATGTGTAGTCTGGAACCATGGACGCAAACGACATTTGCAGCATGCTCCAGCCCATGGTGAACTGGGCCGAGGCTATACATATCGTCACCAGCCATTGAAACTTTCCCATTCCACCAAGCTCCTCAAGGATATCTTCAAAAGTTTCGACCTTCTTCATTTTGAAATTCTTCTGTCCAGCACTGTAATATTCCAATACAATTTCAATGAGTTTAATGAGAAAATAGTGACTGTCATTTCAATTCTAGCAAAGTCATTTAGTTACCACAGGATTTATATATTGTTGTAACAATGTGGGTCAAAGAGGGAAAGGAATAAGAAAGAATTAACTTCATGTCTTTTCTTTTTACTAGTGTGTTAAGAGAGCGCTTTACAAAATTATAGTTTCTGCCGCATCTCCACAGCCACACCACCAAAATCCTTTTAAAAAATTAATTAATTGAAACCCAGTTATACATTATACCGTAAATAATATAGGAACAACCATTGCATTTTACTGATGTGTTTAACTTTTCGTATACTCTTATTGGGTTAGTTTATTAATCCTTGAGGTGACATTGACACTAATCCGACCACCACCCCCCCCCCCATCCCACACGTTTTGAAACTGTCAGACTAAATCATAAATAAAATGAATTTCCATGTCATTGTGGATTCTTGCCATCATTTTTCTCGTCTAACAGCAGGCAAAGTGAGTCAATTTACTTTTCTTTCTTTTTTAAAAACAGGAATTCGAAATGAGAAGATTATCCGATTGTATTTATTGGAAATGAACGAGGCTCAATAGTTGTAATGTTAGTCACGTGGTAGTTTCATAACAATGTCCTACCACGGGCCTACTTTTGGAAAACATCAATCAATACATTATAACTTTAAAGTTTGAACCCGAGCAAGGAATACGAATGCTCCTTGTATTTTCCTCGTGTGTGTGTTTTAAAAGAACCGAATTACTGAATGTTGTACTTATTGACCCCAAGGGGAAGATAATCATAGTTCAACTAAATGGTTTGTGAGGAATTATTGTGTTGTCTCAACGTTTAGCTCTCTTAACGGAGTCAGACATTTTGATGAAACGGTCGATGATATTGATATGGGCAGCTACTTTATAAAGGCTGCAGGGAGAAGCAACAATGTGGAATACCTTTAATTAAGGCTGTGGAGTTATTGTTCCTGAAAGTTATTTAACACTGTATCACGCCACTCAGTGCAGGTATGCCAGATGAAATAGTACACTCTCTAACGATGCTTTCTGCGTTAACTCACGCCATATATTTTTATAGACGTTAACGCATCTATCACCATGACCGTTTTAGAAAGGGAAAAAAAACGTACGCTTTATCGTTATGCCTTAACTTATTTATAGACGGGGGACAAAACAGGAACTTTTTTAAAATAGTTATTTTCCCTTAGAAGTATTGAGGTATAAAGACAAACTGTACCGTGGATTTATTTACAAGTTTAACTGTAGTTACATTGAAATATATAAAAATTATATAATATATATATATATATATTATATTGCTTACCTGTATGAAAAGCTGCGCGTATGTTTTGTATTTCGATACAGATCACTCACACAAGTTCTTGACTACACCGTTAGCTAATGTTTGTGACTTCTGATCATTACACAAGCAGGTCATCGGCTCTATTCAATCGTCACTGCAACACCACGCGGTAAACGCGACACGGGATGAAACTAATTTACCTCTCAGAGTGTTTTATGTAACATTTCAAAATACGATAATCACACATCACACACCGCGTGCTGTTGCCAAACAAGCCGGCAGAGAGAGAGAGAGAGAGAAGTCTGCCCCACTCTCGTACAGCACTGCTCATTCAGGCCTGTCCAAGATTCCTGGCACGCACCGCCACGTCGCGATGAGGTTACGAAATTGGGGTATTCACTTGTTGTTTTAAACTTTGAACCTCTGGGAGAAAGAGTATTTTTAAGCTTGGCCAAAACATACTTAAAAAAGGGGTGGATGTGGGGTTGGGGCGGGAGGACATAGTTAATCATGCGGAACCATTCTGTTCAATTTTTCTATTTATAATTTTTTTTTTTTAAATATTTCATATCGGAAACAACAATTTTATTATTCTTTTTTTTTTAAAAAAAAGGTGTTTGGGGGAGGGGCGGTTTGACTTCAACCTACATTGTTTTATCTATTTCCTAACATCCCTTGTGTACCATTTGTATAATTCCAAAAAACGGATTTCAAAATTTTGAAAATCCCGACTTCACTGTTCAGGTATTCGGCCTAGTTCTATTTTATTTATGCTTTTCCATTTGGTAATTGTTTGGTATGTCACGTTGCCCAATGGCGCTTGAAAGGGCTGTCCCATTCAATGAAATACAACTGTAATGCTTCTTTTTTTTTCCTTTTTTTTTTACAGAGATAACGTGTGGAGGGGACGTTTACAATCCATGGACTTATGAAGGTTGTAACACTACATTGGCGTAACAAGTCCAGAGTCAGAGACGCTTTCTTTTAGAAACAAATCAACCTTCCCTTGCCTGGAAATCAAACATCGAATTTCAAATAAAAATACATATCAGCAAGCGAAGCAAAAAAAAAAAAAATAAAAAATATGTATTATAAAATAATCTCCAAACAAAATTGTCAGAAAATAAAGAAGGTACAACGTCTGTTTCGTTGTATATAAATATTTTTATACATAATTTTTTTTTCAAATATCATAAATTGCAAATCAATTTTTTTTTAAAAATATTCTTTTGAATACTTTTATATTTTTCTTTATTAATGTGGTCTTTTTAAAGCTTTCAACGCATTTCATTCTTTGGATTATAATCATAGAAGAAAAATATGTTTCTGATTGTCAACAAAGATTTTGTACGCGGTACTTCATATAAAAAATAGTGTTGCACCTATTTTCAAATTAGCCGTTTTTGTTAGTCCTTGTGAGCATCCTTCCGTCTTTCATATGACGTAGCTGGTTAACACTTCCTCGAATAGCAGTCAAGGCTGCACTTCTCGCAGGAGAAAATTCACGTCTGGTTTACCTTGACCTTTCGTAATGCTTTTTTTGTTTCTTTTGTTTGTTTTTTTCTGCGAAGGTTTCGTTTAGCACATCTTCTGCCTGTTTGATTCCCACATACGCTGCTGCTCAACGAACGGGGCAAATAATCGGCCGCAGACTCAGGGTTGGCTCAAGGCGCCGGCAACCCGAATAGTTGCCCGGGGCGCCAAGGGATTAGGGAGCCATGAAAAATCTGGCAAAAGAATTACTTTTCTTCCATGAAACACTTTTTTTTCCATATTTTTCAAGATCGCTGATGGCGCCCTAAGCTCGTGTCGCCCCATCAAGATCGCTGATGGCGCCCTAAGCTCGTGTCGCCCCATCAGCGATCTTGAAAAATATCAAAAAGTATTGCATGGAAGAAAAGTAATTGTTTTGCCCAATGTTTCTCTGCACTTCTACACAAATGGTATTTTCGTGAATAGTGGCGGGAAAAGTCGATGCTGACAAAGGCAGTCGCTTCCTTAATAGGTGCATTGAGTTCTTTTATCTTTGAAAGGCTCCCGTTTCTGGCGACGGCGACTTCGATTTGGCAGAGGTGACCGCGGTAGGTTTGTCAGCGTATTGGCCATCGGTTGACATCTTTTTCGGCAACTTTGGTCGTTCAGCGGTGGCGACAACAGGCGTTTGTAGAGCCGGCGACTACAAATTTTCCGCTGATCGGAGTTTGGAATCGAATGTTAAGTTATGCAGCACAGTGCAATTTCAGCACTCCAGAGCGAAGAATCTGGGTGCGATCTGGGGATGTTTTTTTGCAGTTTAATGTAATAAATTGATTATAAATAACGTGTTAAATTAACTTGATTGTAATCGTGATGTGTGTAATATATTCCACCCGGTAGTTAATTTAATGATCTCTCTGATCATCAATTTAATAAATTATTCACTTTGTGCCAGTATAAATAAACCAAAATCGTACAATTAGTTGAGATTTGCTGAATGTGTCAAAGCGAATAAATATGAAATGACGAGAATTCGAGAGGCTCTTTGAAAACCTTCAGAAATGTCTGCGCCAGATCTTGTAGTGCGACATGAAGCTGAAACAAATAGAAGATTAGGATTTTTTAGTTAATGATAAATGTCTGGTATGATTATATCTTAGGCAGGGCAAATGTTGTCAACAATATATTTACGATCATCCATGACTCAAGACAGAATGAATTCTTTTGAAATTTTGTCTATAGAAAATGTTATTGCAAAGAATATAAATATAGAATATAGTATTATTATTTTATAGTTTTATATTCTTGACAATAACATTTTCTACAGACAAAATTTCAAAAGAATTTATTATTAATAATACAAAGATTTCCTGACCTAAATTTAAAATACTATTATGTAAAAATGCCATCGGTAGGCTATTTTGTTCATACTGTCCAAAAACATGTTAAGAAAATCAATGTTATTGTTAATTGTTAATAAAAAACAAATCCTGGGTAATAAACTCATTACACAACCCCTAGTTTTTCCTTGCAATATTTTGTATTATTATACTTAAAAAGGGCGTTAAAGATAAATTTGCCCTGGGCGCCAGCGGCTCCCTGGGCGCCAGCAGCCGTAGACCCGGCCCTGCGCAGACTAACTACTATGTATATAACTTAGAAATGGAAGCGCCTATTGTAATTATTTCATTTGTGGTACTCCATTTTATTTCAATATTTCCTACTTCTACTGTTTGGGATACGGCTTAACCACTTGGATGACAACAACAAGGTCAAGAACTAGAGTCAAGCGCGACGCGCCATTAACATCTCAATTTTGCGCTTACACTTGGGAATTACTCAACTTAATGTAACTTTTATCCTTAACACTTTGAATCTCAAGGCCTAAACAATTCGTTTATCAGCATGATAAGGATGAATTTCAAGAAATGAAACAATTGAAAAGGCTAAGTTGCCTTCATTTTTAAAAATAAATAAATAAAACAAAGTTAATAATGGAAATATCACCTTTCTCTAGGATTATTCAATTTTATTCACCTGTGCTTATGACAACATTGATGAGAATGAAAATTAAAGATCAAAATAAATATAAAAAAATTAATAAATTTGAATAATCCTAGGGTTCCCAATGTTATTTGTGTTAAAAACAAATAATGATATACATGAAATATTACCATTGCATTAGTTTTTCTTCCACAAAATTATTTAAATTTGTCTAGGCCTAATTGAAATATTTTTTTGGAAACAAAGGACAAGTAGGTCATCATTCAGCTGTGAGCAGTTTGTCGAGCAATTCGTTGCTTTGAAATTCTATCTATCTGATGGCAGCGCATTTTATTGGAGTTAGGTAATGCGTTTATTACTTCTTGTTGTCCTACAAACTAGAGGTGTGGGTAACATAGAACCTTCCTAAGTGCTCAGTTGAGATTTTGGGGTGAGAGTGCGAGCAGTTAGATAAAAATGGCCACTTGCTTACCACCTTACATCGCTGATACTTGTACTGGTATAATTTCTATCTTAGTTTGAATATGTAGAAGTGGCCATAATTCATAGAATTCTTTGAATTTAATCAAACTCTTAACTCTCACCCAATCCATACAAAAAATAATCAAGACAATATATATTATATTGTTCGTCCGTCGAGGATCGACGAGGACCATCGAGTCGTCTGGTGACTGATGACTTGCGCGGATGACTTTGTTTAAAGTGAAGAAGTGTTGCGCGGCGTTTACCTCACTCTCTCGTCCGAGCCCACCATATCCAGTGGCAAGACTCTACGTCAAGACGACCAGGGATGGGTTCGGTTGCAGAAATTGACATGGTTTGCACCTTACGGGACTTCAACTCCGGGTTTGAATTCAGAGTTTCCTTCTCTTAGATGAGTTGCCGACCAAGGTTAACGAGTCTCATCCACCCGGGAATCAAGTCAATAATAATAATTACACAAAACAAAATTAATATTGATCCTTTGAATGCTTTGCACAATCTATTTTAAGTCGCCGCGGCGATTTAGATGTTCTCGCAAACGATGTACCAAATGATATTGTGAGTAATGTAAGTGTTGACGCATCATGCCACGCTGGTGCAGTTTTAACTTTGGCTGCACCGATTACCAAATAGCCGAATTCCGGTTCATCCATGAAAAAGCCAGTTAGCCCGATTACCGATTATCTCTTGATTGATCGGTACAACCCTGAAAAAAAAACCAAAAAATTAAACTGTGTCATCTTTTACGCAATGCGCTGAATATATTTTGCCACAAGCCACACTTCTATTCATTAACTGAAATAAAATTGTAAGCCAAAGTATTTTTCATTCAGGAACTTACTATTCTCCTTTCTGTACCTCGGTCGCTCTAAAATGTTTGGTAATCGCGTGGATTAGACACCGTCTGTCTGAATATGTGGAATAGAATTAAATGTTAATTAAGATGTTAAAGATTGGTCTAATTAATACGAGACTTATCGAAATTTTGTAAAGAAATATCCACAAAAAAAAAGTATTTTAAACTACGACGAGGACTATTGCGGACTAACTGATACAACCTTTATAAACAACGTTCACGTTATTTAGTAATGTAACTCAGACTAGAGACCGACCAAAAGGGATTTTCTGATTTCGAACGAAACTAGGCCAAAAGTTCAAATTGACCGAAGCTGAAACCAAAAGCTTATCGAGACTTTCGACCCAAGCCGAAACCGAAAAATTTAGATATTTCGAAATTCCTTTACGCATCTATCGCAAAATGAAGGAGGAAAGTATCAATATTTGCATTCTGTTTATTTAAAAAAATTAG